GGGGGGGGGGGGGGGGGGGAGAAATCAGGCATCAAGTCCTTTTAATTAATGTAGACACACAAACTTCACAAATTTAGCAGCAAAGAAAGCAGAAATTCTGGCTAATCTCCCTAGAAGCTGCCTCATAATCCTAGATAAGAAATTGACAGATTTACAGCCCTAGCAAGTGAAAAAAAGGAGTATCTGCTGTTACAATTGTGGCTATGTCATTAGGAAAGACACTTGTTGGCAAGATCAAATACATCAGAAGTCTCTTGGAAAGGAGCATTTCTTTTCACGCTCTAATGTAATTAGCTACCACCCACACAAAATCCTTTTAATTAAAAAGAAATATTTTAGAAGCATGTTAGCAAGATGTATCTCCTTGGGCACTGATTGTCCCTATTTATCAGGGACCGTGGCAAACTGTGCACACTTTGAGGGTGACGTTTGTTGGAGAGATAGTTGAGGACTACTCCTCTGAAATCTCCCTTGATTTCATTTTGTGACTGATATGGAGAAATACTAGAAACTGGCTAAAAACCGGGAGACTGTGAGTTCTAGGCCTCCCTTAGGCATGAAAGCCGGCTGGGTGACTTTGGGCAAGTCATTTTCAATGAGCCCAGCCCACCTCACAGGGTCGTTGTTGTGGGAAAAATAGGAAGAGGAAAGCGTATTAGGTATGTCCTCTGCCTTGAGTTATTTAAATCTAAATCCAAAAAAAATACAGAAAACTACTGGTGCTACTTTACATCATTGGTCTATCTAGCTAAGATAGTTTATAGTATCTTCCAACCATCATTATGCTAAAATAATGGCAGTGAGGATAGACCATATGTTAATTTAGTGATGGCTGGGTGATGCTATGAAGATGCTATAAATGAATTATCTCAACTCCCAGCAGTCCTAAGTGAGAAATACTGGGAATTGTAGTTCAGCTACAGCTACAGGGTCTTCCTTTTGGTCTACTCAGATTCAAGGATTTCAGGTAGAGATCCTTCAGAGTCCTAGTTGAGATGCCAAGGATTAAATTTAAGTCCTTTCTCCCATCGCCTTCCTCCCCAAAATTTGTCTTTTTGAAACATTTGGGAACAGTTGATTGGCAGTAGTTTATGATTAACAGTGGGTTCATTTATTCATTTACAAGCTTATAAACTACACAAATCAAAGCCAAAAAGTGTACAGTTCCCCATCTTTGTAAACTTAGAATAAAATCAGAATTAAACATAACACTATAATGTAGGAAAAAATATAGATGTATAGATTATATATATATACACACACACAATTCCATACTCAGACAACCAAAAATTAAAACCTCATTCTTCATCAGATGAAGCAGTCATTGCATTCCAGCATCATAGCCTAATGGAACAGCCACATTTTAATGGACTTTCTGGAAGCCAGAAGGGACCATTCTGATGTCTTGGGGCAAGCTATTCCAGAGGAGAGGGCTGCAACTGAAAAGTTACACTCATGAGGTCCCTGCAGATGACAGTTCCTGAAAGGACCCCACAATGAGCCCATCCTACTCAAACCTGTCATAAGGGCTGATATTAGAAAGCAGTCCTGCAGATACTGAGGCCTTGAATTTTGATGGGTTTTAAAGGTAGCAATCACCACTTGGAATCCACATAGTAGCCTGTGCAAAGGTGCTACATGGCTGTAGAGAGGCACATCCATACCTATTTAAGCTGCCACATTCTGGACCAGCTATAGCTTCCTAAGGCTGGCCAAGGGCAGCCCCATGTAGAGAGTATTGCAATAATCTAGTTGAGAACTGACATTTGTGTCAGCTTGCCATTAGGATTACTTGCCATCTTCTGGCAGCCAATGAGTGGGATCACATCCCCTGTAGAAAATCTTTGATCCCTTGTGTCCTCATCTCTGAGCCATTTGCACAGCAGATATCATGCAATGCATTTGAAAGCCATCAATTATTCTGAAAGCATTGCCAGATTTGCTGTAAGAGTAAACATTCCATTACACTTACTTAAAGGCTGAAAAGCAGCGTAGGCACTTAAAAATAAATGGAAAGGAAACTATTATGGCTGGTTTATTAATAAACTGTTTCAGAAGCCAATTCAGGGCAGTTATTGCACTGTAAATGATGCAGAAATTGCACAAGAATGCCCTTATTTTCATTGGTTATAAATGCTGGAGGGTATTATATTTAGTGTTATCTTCTGTACTTCCTACAAAGACAGGAAATCATTATTTTTTTTAATTGCATTCCAGAGATTAGTGCAACATAAATACTGAAGAATAAAAGAGTTCCAGTCATACATGTGCCCCTGTGCAAATCTGCATGTAGAGGCACTGAAGAGAGATAATATTCCTTGATATGAAAATAGACCTGTTACAAGCCCACTGGAAGAACAGTTCTTCTTTCTTACCTGTTTCAGAACCAGTCCTTTCAGTGTTGTAGGTGCCCAAATACACATTCAGCAGATGCCTGTAGCCAAGGCATGGCCACTTTATATTCAACCCCCATGCTGCTTCTTCACCTTCAAAATTACAAAGCCACGTTGCTCTGCTGACAGTACAAACCCCATCCAGAAGAATTCTCTTTCAATCAACTCTTATGCAATAAAGCCATATATTAAGAATTCAGTGCTTCCTGCTCTGAATGATCTTTTCTGGTCTACACCCTTCTTCCCAACCTTTCCTTCTTGAATTCCCTTGAAAAATTCCACCATTTTTTCCTTCTACCTCTCCCTCCCCTTGCCTTTTTTCTTTTGAAGTGTATGATCTACTCCATGCTCTTGCAAAGAGTAATTAGCTATTCTGTCTTTTCCTTTTCTTCAGACCTCAGCTTGCTTGAGAGGTCTTTCTGAAGTTAAATTCCTGCCACCAAATTAGCTGTTCTAGTGCTTCCTGAACAGCTCAACCAGTGAAATATCAGACTTCATTGCCTCATATACAATATAATAAAGGCTAAAGCAGGTTTTTCCAGTATCTGCAATTGTTTAATTTTACTGTAAGTCTACATTGTTTGTTTTTTAAAAAAATGTATCTAAGCACACCAATCTGATCTCTGTACACAAAGGAATTTGTATTCTCTCATACAGCAAGTATGACCAGAGGACACATTTTACATAACCTATTAAGTTTTAAGAAGAATCTGTAAAACCACATGAAATACCAAAAGCATGCAGAAAGCATGGCCAATTTTGCAGTTTATGAAAAAGCAGAAGAATCCAGAATGTGGAAGTCTTGGAAGAGGGGTGCCTTCATCAGCACTCCATTGCTGATAGCAGCTAACATTTCCAGGCAAATGGCGACCACACAACACCAAGCCATGTAGTATGTGATAAAATGCAGCCTTTTTTCTAGTTTCATAAGGCAGCCTTCCTTGAAGAGTTTCTCTGACTGGTTTAGATCACCGCTGCAGTCCAAGTAAGTCTCTTTACAGCAGCTTTCTGGGACAAAGACACGTCCACTTTGGAGATACTTCGGGAGCGCTCCTATCCAATCAGTGTAATTGTAGATCCCGCAACACTTCAGTTGCTTGTGGATGGAATCAACAATCTCAGTGCTGCAATGACTGCGAAAACTCCAGTTGTATTGGTGAAAAAACTGACCCAGGCTGCTTTTCAACTGGTAGCCTGCTTTGGCAGAGTAGACTTGGGTCATAGCAGCCGAGGAGGCTTCCAGGCAGAACAGGACCAGCAGCAAATACATTAGAGTCCCTTGATGATAACGAGAATTTCTCACAGGGATGTACATTGCCAATGACCCAGCTGGGAAAAGGAAACCAGCAGCCAGGATAGCCAGCCAGCCTGGCAGAAGGAAAAACTGATTTGGAAAGAAAGCTTGATAGCTTTTGTAGGTAAGGATCACAAACATTCCTCCAAATAGCAACGGCAGAGAAGCTCCCCAAAGAAAGAAACCAATGAAGGTCAGAACAATTTTAGCTAAAGCTCTGCCCCAGGACTCAGTGGTACATAGCAAAGAAGGGTTGAAATTGGGATTAAACCCAATCCCTCTCATGTTAAGATATTTCATCATACTCCTATATATATTCTTTTTTTCTTTCTTCCTATCTCTCTCCCTCCTTCCAGAAATGCCTCCATCTGTAGGCAGGTGCAGATGATATCCAAGCTTTATACCCAGTTTCTTTCTAATTAGAGAGTATCAGTCTCTGTTCTTTATAGCTTGGCGTTGAAAGTGCAGTCCTCATCCTGCAAAGCTTATGAGCCAGTGCTAATTACAGAAACTGGGTTCACACACTGCACTAAACATGGTTCACTTAGTCATAGTTTGTGGAATACATCACAGTTCTATGCATTTATAAACCATGTTAGATGGATTTACAAGGCAGCCTTCATTTCTGGTTTCTCATTTTTAATCCCCTTGTCTTTCACTTAAGAGGTGAATTAAAGGGGAATAAACAGCTTGGCACATAGTTGAACTGCACCAGCAAGAAGCCTAAGAATCCCAGGATATTTAACTGAAGATAAAACACATGCTGTGGTTATTACCCTTTTGTTTTCAGGACACAACAAGGAACAACAAAATGAAAGTTGGATTTATTTGACAGTTGTTTATTAGATATACTTGCAATTTTGGGTGAGCAGGTCTTATCCTGAAAAATGCAGAATGTGTGACACATCACTGTGAAAGCAGATTACCAAATGTTCTATAACTAGCTTGCTTGTACAACTGTCAGTGGATTAAACCAACCAACCAAACCTGCCTACTCTGCTCTTATACCTCGAACAGAAGCTCACTGTGCACATCTCAGCAGGTGAGGATTATCACAGGGTGTATTTGCAAAACACATTGAATCACAGAGTAGTAACCACACTAGCCTAGAATGTTTTATGACCCTAGCCCATATGATCAGTTTATAGTTCAGCCTGTTGCAAAAATCCAGAAAATTAAATTACTTCAGTAAATTATGGTTAACTTTGTTATGAATTCTGAGAAGGGTTAAGATTGTGCAATTTTAAGACAGGATCTCAGCCTACAGGCTGGAATGAGTTAGTCTACAGCTCAGAAGGTTATATAACACCAACCAAATTGCATTATTTACTTTCTGGGTTTATATGCCATCTTCCTGTTAGAATACTCATGGTGACTTGTAATTTAAAATGATATGTACACTAAAAATATAAAATCCCATAATAAATACTAGAAAAATAAATATGAATAATAAAAATATAAACTAAAGATTGTTTCAACCAAATTTAAGTGGCATTTAATGGGTGGAGTAGTTCATTAATTCAATAAGTACATATCTGAATTTTCTACACGAAGGTAAACTTTTAGGCTTTAATAGCAAAATCTCATCCTCTGTTGTAGTCTCACGTAGTTATTTAAACTGCAATTCTACAACTTCTATCCAAAAGTACACACTACTGAACTGAAATATACTTTTAAAAAAAGTAACATGAATAGGATTGAACTTCCTAGGGCTGCCCTAGATGTCAGCTGCAAAATGGAATCTTTGTTGCCCTCTAGTGGCCATCTCAGTTTTTCCAGCCCAGATCTGGTAACTCTTCCTCCCTTCTTCTCTGTTTTACAATTGCTTCTACATATTTGATATTCTAAAACAAACCAACCAAAATCCTGGTAAAATGGGAAATCTGAACATATGCAGTTTTGCACTCAAGATCCTGGCAGTGTCATGGTTATAGGAATAAAATAGTTTCTGTAAAGCTCTTTCTTGAGCATAAGCCTCACTGTTGTAATTTTCTTTTTCAAGAAGGTAAATTAAAAGTAACAATAAGAAGTGGCAACTCTACCACTTCTTCACTATAAAATGTTTTGAAATATAAATATCTGTATGGTCATATTGAATTCCTTGGAACCACAGTGCCCTGAACTTGAGCCTTAAGACCTTTCTCTAGTTGTAGCACTGATTAGATTTCCTTGGAAAGAAGCATATACAGTGGTACCTCGGGATACAAACTTAATGCGTTCCGTGACTCTGGGCGTATCCCG